CCGTTACACGTGCTAATGAGGGAATATGTTTACGAATTATGCAAGCTATAGCTACGATGAGTACAACAACTCCACACATGATTCCAATGCCAATGCCGATACCCTCTGCTAGTCTATCTTGACCTGATTAATGTAATAAAAAGCTGATTACACGAACCATTTAAGCTTACAATCTTATTGCAACTCAAATTATAAATGTGATAATATGCAGTTTGAAATAGTTTCTAATTTAGTTTTACGTTATGAAGCTAAAAATTATACTATTAAATCTAAATAACTGGTAATATGACACACTATGAAAAATCGTTCAGTAAGATCATGAAGTTAACTGGCATCACCCTTGATGCAATAGTATAAGGGCATATTAAATGTTTATCAAACGAACTGCTTACTAAATCTATAAAAATTAGCTAATGAATAAAAAAATACATCATTGGAACGATCATAATCACATCGGTGTAGAACAGTTGTAAATACATTCAGTGCCATAATGAGTTTGTCGCACGCTGTTGAGCTGTATCAGTGATATTGTCTTTAAAGTGATTTTCAAACTATCGGTTAATTTAGCGTTCTAGTAGCCTACAGGAAAATTAGAATCAATTTTAAAACTTCTTTTGAGACTATTCATTATTACTTACTGCTATTACAGAAATCTCCTTGATACCCAGCCTTACATGTATTACAGTAACCATTGCTTTTATTGCATTCAGATTTATCACAGTTGGATGAGCAGTTGTACATGCAGTTGACGCCGAAATGTTGTGAATCGCATGCTATATTTTTTACAAATACATACATTAGTCAATCATACAATAACATACTAATACAACTTTAAATTGTATATTCTTTACTTTACTATATTCCAATGTAATAAATTCGTAGTAAGACAACTCACATATATCACAAAATTTTCCCTTGAATCCCGCTGGACACGAAAAACATTCCCCTGTTGATTTGTTACATTCAGATTTCTCACAGTTGGAGGAACAGTTGTAGGCACAGTTTGGACCAAAATGATGTTTGTCGCATACTGGATTTTAAAACAAAATTATATATTAACCATGATAAATAAGGGCATTTGAATACAACTATATGTTTTTAGCATTTGAATACAACTATATGTTTTTATGCTTATTAAAAATTTCTTTGAAAAAAAAAACCGCAATATTACACAACTTACAGATGTTACAAAATGTTCCCTGAAATCCTGCTACACACGAATAACATTCGCCAGTTGTTATGTTACATTTAGAGTCCTCACAATTTGAAGAACAATTCAGTAGACAGTTTGATCCATAATGGTGGTAATCGCAGACTGAAAGTAGTACATTAATTTTTGTAGCCACAATAATGTTATAAGTGTAAATCAAAATCTATATTTATTGAATAAAATGTACTACCTTGGTCACAGAAATCTCCCTTTTTCCCAGGTATACAGTCAACACAAATTCCACCAACATTCTCACAAAGCTGATCTTTACAATTTGTACTACATCGGCTTGTGCAGTTATATCCGTAAAATGTAGCGTTGCAAGCTAAACAAGTTTATAAGTAATATAGATATTAATAATTTGAATTAATATTTTGATTTTATGTTTTAATTAAATTACTTATTACAAAATAAACCACACTCTTTACACTGTATAATACGCCTTCACAATATTTCCTTCAATAGCAGTTACTGTATGGATAGTTTATATTTGCACACAAAATTATTCGAACACATTTTAACAGGGCGGTGTAATTGCCGCGAAAAATTAAAATTGTACGTATATAATTTTAAGAGCATCCGTATTGTGGAAATTGAGATTATTTTAACTTGACATAGAAACCATGAGTGAAAACACCCGCCCATGGAAGAAATGGGACGAGGAAAACATTAGTTTAAATACATCAACACATTCGTCTTGAAAGAAATGTCTAATGTACTTAAAATAACAATTGTTTTAATTGTTGCATATAAAGTACCAGAGTGCTACAACTTTTTTTTGTGATGGTTAAGCAGCTCATGCGATGTAAATTTAGTTTATTTGAAACAATGCACTGCAAATAGGGTACACTGAGGTTGATGGACATGTATATACGTTTGATCATTTACTGCGAGATAAAAGTTAAGAAAGGGACACTGCTGAGTTGAACAGATTGAAGAATGTCTACCGCCCCCCCCCCCCGCCCCCTAACGAAAGGGAATAGATATAGAAAATATATACTTTTTATAGTGAGCGCCCCCCCCCCCCCCCCCCACCCGACAATTTCAAGTGCCGCCCCCGAGAAAAAGTCTGGAAGAAACACTGGCGTTGAATGATGTGGGTTGTGTAAAGGTCAGAAAGTAGGCTGGACAAACGTGAACATTATACTTGGTTTTGAGGGACGCTATGGGATATGGTATCATTGTAATAATGTAGGTACTATATTCAATTATTGAAACCTTGAATATACATTACCTTTAAACAATAGAATTTGTTCTGTGATTAAAACCATTTTAGCTATTTGCATTACTTTCAATGAAACTTAATACATACGGTATTGACAAAGTGGACCAAACCATCCACTAACACAACTAGATCCACCATAGCATCCACCAGACACGTTGCAGTAGTTGTTGGTACAGCGGCATTTGTACTGGCAGCTTGGTCCAAACCATCCAATGGGGCATCCTGTTTTTTTAAAAATCTTTTGTTAACCAATCGGTTTCAATATAACATATCATGCCTGTATGCCCTTTTATACAAGCCCTCATCGTCACACATCTCAAAATTCCGACTTCCCCACAAGTCTTCACTAGGAGTGTTACGTTACATAGAACTATCCCTGTGTGAGTACTATTTTAGTCATTCACTGTATATTCTCAAAGTATTAATTGATGAACTGAGTTATATAATATTTATTAATAATTGTATCGGTAAAATTGTTTTGATATAGCCTACTCCAGACAGTACAGTACTATGGTAAAGTTGCGGTTTTAGGCGTGAAAAGAAGTAATAATTTTCTGGTACAGATTTTATGTTGCGTGACAGTCGATTGTCGTAAGGGGGTTGGGATGGGGTAGGGAAGAACATACACCTTAACACATGTGTCGTTTACAGTCCGATATAAAAACTGGTGATAGCGTTCAAGGCTATCACTGCATGATGTAACAAGATTATAAACTGGTCGTTAGTTGAATAGCGAGAAAGTGATGAAGAGGATGGACTTAATACATTCTTAAAACCGACAGACATGTTCATGACGGATTGTTTTAGCTAAGTATAAAACGTACTAAACAGTGTTTAATAGTGTTCGAATGACAATCAAAAATAGATTTCTTGGCAACGTTTCAGATGTTAACCTAAATGTGTTGTATACTTTTAAAACAACAAATAGAAGAATATAAAGCGGTATAGGCAAATGAAGTATACACACGAATACAGGTGATTGTTTATATATAAACACGATAGCTGCCTAGCGATGCCTAGCGTGAATTATTTTGATTTACTGTATTGTAATAGGATTAGTCAAGTGTAGCAATGAATTTGCATTATTTTTACGCGCATGCCCTTATAAGGAGTTTAGCGTCAAATTTTATTTTGACGAAAACAACCTTTAAACCACTTATTTGTAGAACTGAAACATAATCACTACACCTGCGTCTACACGATAGCTTGGCCGATAGATCGCTGTATAGTTTATTGTGCCTCTCAGGCAATAATAGATGTAATAAACGCTCGAAGATAACCGATGTCCACGTAGTAGTGTAAAAATTTGCCGGGGGGTAGATTCACATCGCATTAAAATGATAAAAGGATAAAGAAGACCAAAATCTTCGGGTAAGATAGCTAAAAAGTTTTAGTAGCGAATTAAGAAATAAAAATGTGAATGAGCAAAATGTCACTTTTATCTAAAACATGTTTATGTATCTTGTATCCCGAATTCAGTGTTTCACAACCTTATTGGGGGTACCGAATCGTACCAGTTCCCTCCCTCGATCTCTAAGTATATCTCTATCACCCCCACCACTACCAGTCTGGTAAGCTGAGGTTCACGCCGGGTCGAATTAATAACGGCTATTAGCGGCAGATCATTTAGTTTTTAAGCAATTTACAAACTAAGGGGATGTTGCTTTCAGGGGGGGGGGGGGGGGAGGGGGGGGTAATTGTCATTCACGAGCTACCGATTGTGTTTTAAAGCAAATAATTTCAGTCACAGCACTGGTTGTGTCGAATTATGAATAACCGAACAGTAGAAATAATACAACTAAATAGCGGAGTATGCTTACGGCGCGGGTTAGCTCGTATTGTATATTATGGTAAAACCACTTGATTTCTTTGCTGTATATCAAAAGTATGAAGGAATTAAATTAATAAGAAAGAAATCACACTACGATGTACCAGCACACGTCAACAACTGTGCCAAGATATAAAAATAAAAATTGTGTTCGCCGCAGCACGTATAAACACGATCAACGCGCGCCTGTATATGTGAAGTTCACAAGATAAGTGACGTGTTTGTGTACTTACGTCAAATATTTCACGAAATAGAATTGTCGAGATACCAAAACTTGTCAACTCACTCTGACGCACTTTATTGCTATGTTACACTGTTGTATTTGAAATGTCATCTGTGGTGCCAAGTGTTCGTCCGCACAATCAGAATCTGAATATATACTTTTACAACTGTCCGCCTCCCCGGAAATTTTAGTCAATCGCTCAAATGTTTTAATGTGCTCCCCCGCCCCTCTCCAGGAATTTTTGTTGTTGAAATAAACACTGTTCCAATCCAGCTTAAAAACCACTGTATTAGTTAATATATAAAATTAATACCTTCAAAAATCTCAACTTCACAAAGTGTTAAAATATAGAATTTGGCTTGTATTTGCACAGCGGTTACAGAAGGTGTTGATGTTGAGGTCACTGCATAAACAGCGACAACAGTGTTAGGTTCTGTGTAGGTGAACAACGTCTGGTTGTTGTAGCTGTAGCTGGTGAGTGTAAAACCACGGAGAAGATCTTGGCAGCAATCAGCTGATAAAGATTTAAATAGTAGAAATATTAACTGCGTGGAAAATTAAACACAAACTCAAATGTCTAGATGCTACATTTATAAGCAGACTAGTAATAAACCATATAACATACTTACCATACCACTTAAAATTTTATAGCTATATTTAAATATTTATATAACTAATTAGGAAAAATTCGTTCTCGTTACTACTTTTCATTTTCACTCAATTTTTCGAAGGTTATTTTACGATCTGTTTCTAAGAAAGGAAGAATTGTTTTGGAGGTTGTTCTTTTTAAAACTTTACAAGAAAATTGTGATCCATTTCTTTCAAGAATATATATAAATAAATTAAACTTTGAAAATCATTTTGATGAATATTATATAATTTGAAAAAAAAAATGTTAGACAATTACGAATTAACGAAACTTAATACAAATTGGTTTATGTAAGCTGTGTGCATACCCCAGGGCTAATCACGGACACCCACAACGTTAAATAGAAAACAATCTATATATATAATTCTCTTCTTGGAGACGTTAGAAAACGCCAATCTGTAAGCGCGCTTAGCAGTCCCCTCTCTTCCTCTCTAGGCATATCGCAACCTCCCCCACCCCCACATGGTCTGGTGAGCTCTTGTTCACGCTAAATGTTTACAATCGTACAGCCGGGTTTAGTGACGCCTATAATTTAGTTTGAAACTATTTTAAACTTGGAGGAGGTAACTAAGAGGAGGCTGCTTTCACGGGGGGAGGGGGTGTTGGGTAGGGGTTGGGGGAAAGGAGTGTGGGAGTGGGTTATTGTCCTTAGCGTCCTACTGATAGTGTTTTAAAGGAAATATTTTCAGTAGCAGCACTGATACTGTCGAATTCACAAATTATGAATTATTGAAAAGTAGAAAATAAAACAGCTAAGTAGCGGCAAATGGAGACCATACAAAAACACCACACAGCTTAGCCACTTCCTCATCCCCACCTGTCAGGTGAGCTGTGGTTCACCCCAAATGTTTACAATAGTAGAGACGGCTCCAATAATTGACGGCTATTAGAGGCAGACAATTTAGTTTTTGAATGATTTGAAACTAAGGGGAGATAACAAGTTCTGCTTGATATTTTCATTGTCGCCTGTAAACCTTCGTCACGGAAGGCTGCTTTCATAGGGGGGGGGCATGCGAAACAGTGTGTACCCGCAGCAGTGTGCACCTCAGTCGCTCCTGTGTCCTGAGTTGCTTTGGTATCTCCTACAGTCGTCTGAGCCACGTTTGTCCCCGAAGGTTTGTTTTGATTTTGCCCCTTTGTTCCTAACAATAGCCACCGCTTCAAATATATTTCGTGGAGTCAACAGGTCTTTCCATGTAGTCGAAATTCCTTCATCAGGTAACTGTTTATTCCTATCAGTCGCGTATTTCTGGAAAAATGTCTTCGACAAAACTGTTGCTCTCGAACTTCGGAAGATGGCTGCTATTTCCTTACGGAGATCCAGGCTGGCACATACAATTGGCCCATGTTGAAGAAAAGCGAACAGCAAACAGAACCAGAGTCACACAACTCCAATTTTATGCCTACAGGCTTGCCATGAGATCTGCATTCAGCATCTTGCATTCCAGCGGCAAACTGTTCCAGCAATATGTAGTCGACGCATATGTCAGAACAGAAGGCGCGCGTTTACATTACCTACGCTCCCATCAAGAAGATTTGCGCGTAGAACAATACAGGGGACTGATTGATGCTATCGCTGCGAAAGCACAAGGCAATAACATTCACCATGGACAGTTGATCATTCTTCCCTCTACATTTCAAGGCAGTCCACGGTACATGCAACAGAACTACCATGACGCGATGGCGATTGTCCGCAAATGTGGAAAGCCTGACTTATTCCTAACATTCACCTGCAATCCTGCTTGGCCGGAAATTTCTAACACTATTTCCCATCATGAGCGACCAGAACACAGGCCTGATGTAGCTGCCCGCGTCTGTCATATCAAACTGCGTGAGTTCCTAACTGACATTCTGGAGAGGAATATTTTCGGCAATGCAGTCGCATACATTTTCGTCATTGAGTTCCAAAAACGAGGCTTTCAGAAAAATCGCATGTTATAACACGATTACCAGTTCATTTGCCAGAACAACAAGTCGTCTTCTTTCATGAGGGTCAGGAAGAACGAGCACTACAAAGACAGGCAAACAAAAACACCATGTACTTAGCTTGGTTTGAACTCAATAAAACGGATCCTGAAGCTGAGTTACATTACACTGATGTTCCCCAACATTACACATTCCAACAATCCTCTGGAAAATGGCAAAAGAGAATTAGAGGAGGTGCAAAGGTGATCGGTAGAATGCCTGTTGTTGTCATTCACGACACCGAACGTTATTACCTCAGGCTTCTCCTTACCCGTTCCGTAAGCATCACGAGTTTCAAGCATCTACGAACTGTCAACGGCGTGGAATGTAACGCTTTCAAAAAGGCGTGCCAACTATTGGGTCTTCTTAAAGACGAGATGATATGGCATGATACACTTATAGAGGCATCTGAGATACGAATGCCAGGGTTTTTGCGACAACTTTTCGTTTTCATCTGTGTCTTCGGCGAACCACAAAACGTTCAACACCTTTGGGACACGCATAAACTCTCCCTTTCTGAGGACTTTCTCAGAACATATTCCACACGCACTGGTTGCATGCATGCTCTAGCAGAAATTAATGACATGCTTCAACCACATGGCCTCAACCTGCACAAATTACGCCTAACCCTCACTGACATTCTTCTAATGTGTCATTCATCTTCCGTCTTCGATGCTCAGGCTGAACACTCCCACTCTATGGAACACTACGACAAACTCAACACTGAACAAATGTACGCTGTTGACACTGTTTTAGACGCTGCATACACAGACTCCCGACCGCGACAAACCTGCTTCTTCTTAGATGATCCGGCAGGAACAGGGAAAACCTTTGTCTATAAAGCTCTGATCCATACCATCAGAGCCAGGGGAGACTTTCCTATAACCGTTGCATCTACAGGAATAGCTGCAACATTGTTACCGGGTGGACGTACTGCACACTCGGTATTTAAAGTCCCGTTGAAGCTTACTCCTACTTCCACATACGCATACGCATTTCAGGCAGTCGACAGATTGTTACGTGATCTTACAGGTGAGACGCACTCATTTGGAGGGAAAACAATTCTATTGGGTGGAGATTTCCGACAAATACTCCCCGTCATTCTGCGTGCCTCCCGAGCACTCACAGTCGCCAGTTGCATAAACAAGCAACTTTTGTGGCGTCACATGCATGTACTTACACTGTCGCCAGTTGCATTAACAAGCAACCTTTATGGCGTCACATGCTTGTACTTACACTGACGACAAATATGAGAGCTCTTCCTGACAAACAGCATTTTGCAAAATGGCTTCTCGATGTTGGAGACGGGACAATTGGAACACCTGTAACATTACCGTCACATTCATTCCCTCTTCATTCTGATCCCGTTCAATTACTATATGGCGACATCGACTTCTCAACTGTCACTTCGAAACAACTCAGTACGCGAGCTATATTAAGTGTCACGAACGAAGACTCCCTGCACCTGAATGAACAAGTATTGAAACTTATCCCAACCGACGAAGTAACTTTCACCAGCGTTGACTCCATCGTCACAGACGATCACGCAGACGAACCTTCCTTCCCCGTAGAATTTCTTAACAGTCTTACCCCTACTGGCATGCCTCCGCATAAGCTCAAAAGTAAAGTTGGCTCAGTTGTCATGCTTCTAAGAAACCTCGTGCCAGCAAGAGATCTCTGTAATGGCACTAGACTGACTGTTACCAGCAGTCACCGCAACGTACTGGAGTGTAAAACTATCGCAGCTGCTACCTCACAAACTGTCCAACGTACTGGGGTGTAAAACTATCGCAGCTGCAACCTCACAATCTGTCCTTATTCCACGGATATCCTTGACTCCATCAGATTCAAATTTGCCTTTCACCTTTACGCGCGGACAATTTCCTGTCAGATTAGCCTTTGCCATGACAATTAATAAAGCACATGGCCAAACATTCAAAAAGATATGCCTGTATCTTCCAAAACCTGTTTTCACTCATGGACAATTGTATGTTGCTCTCTCCAGAGCTACTTCCTATCATTCTCTCACAGTAGTTTGCCCAAACCCACCGTTTTCGGACAACTGTGTCTATCAGGACGTATTGGATCATTAAATAGCGGCGTATATTACGCCGCGGGTCGACTAGTGTTTAATAAAAGTAAAACTGTTGGTCGCAATATAAATGTTTTCCATACTTGTTTCCAATCACCATTTACACGTTTTACTATTAAATCTCTAAAAAAGAACTAAGTTATCTCAGTTTAATTATGTTTCTTAGCTATTATGTTTATAGTCTTCTAATTTGAAGTATTCATTTCAAAACGACCAGATAACTTAAAGTCATATATAACCTTAAGTCATTTTAAAACAAAAATTCTTAAGAAAGAAAAATGTACCCAGAAACTATTCAATTTATTCAATAAATTCAAATAAGGAAAAATATTGCTAACGATAACTTTAATGTAACATATGCTACGTAATGAAATAATGCTTTATCCGTTTTTAGCCATTGTAGTCTTTCTATAATTACACCAAGTAATATAATACCAGTAGAATAGAGAGAATCTGGCACACTTAAATTCACACATTTTAAAATTTAATGTCCATACCACCATCTCGTGAAGCTAAGTGATTCTTATTATTGCACACGTTACTCTAAATGTTGGTTCTTTACGTGATGTTTTCCAGTTAATATTTTAATGGATATGCTCCTACCTATCAAAAGAATTGCTCTATCCGCACATTTTAAGAAGAAACGTTATATCTTTTACCTCTGTTGTACAAAATGTATCGGTTAATATAAACTGCATTAGAGAATGTCACTCTCCAGGTTTCCAGAGTTTTTTTTTCGGCAGTATGTGTACAAGAATTGTGTCCTATTATTCCATCAGTGTTTCCATCAACCGCTTTGGAAGATGTC